CCACTAAGGTCTCATGGTTTGGTGTTACCTGTGAAGCTGGTGAGGGTGCACTCTGTTTCCTCTCCGGGGTTATTTACAGACACTAAACAGGACAAGGTCCCAGGATAGACCCTGACAAACTGTACTCGTCAACAGCTTCTTGGTAGGGTACAAAACTTTAACTGCTATGCTTTGACCTTGATTCCAGCCAGTTTTTCAGCCATCTAATTGCCCACCCATCCACCTAGATGAGGTACAAAAATTAATGGGGGAGACCATGTCAGAAGCCCTACCAAAGTCAATATAATACTATAACTTCTTTCTCGTGTAAGAAACCATTTTGATATAACACTTGGGAAGTAGTTACCTGACAGTACTAAAGGAATTCTGTATCAAACTAAAAAAAAAGGATTTAGACCTCCAAGGAGAAGACATGACAGGAACTCTATTGACAATTTAAGACTTAACAAGCCTCTTTCTTTGAATAATTTCTTATGCTTAAAAAAATGCTGAGAAATCTGAAAGACTCTCTATTGGAAAGAACGTTTGGACTTGTTTGAAACAAGATTTCGATTACTGTTAGCCACTGTGAGGGCAACTTCAATAAGCTCACTGAACAAGAGTCAGGATTTTAACTTACACCTATATGCTACATGTGTGAATAAGGCATCTGGTCTGTAAGCAGAAAAAGGTTAATTCAGAATACAATACAAGTTGAATTAATTAAACATTGGTTACTGTGCTAAGATACGAATAATTAAGTCTGAATGAAGATAATCGAATGTCATGTTCCAGACATCAAAATGATGGCTGCAGAAAAAACCACATGCATTTTCTTAAAATACAGAATAGCTGTGTAAAGCGTATATGAACTAATAAACCAATGACCTATTTCACTACTACAAATCCTCCCATGATTTCCTTTTCCACTTCTGAATATGTCACAACTATGGCACAAAACCACTAGGACAAGGTTTGGACTCTGGCAAAGATAGCCAAGGAGAGGGGAACAATCATTTATTTATTTTACCACATGATTTTTATAATATAAGTACCCACTTTTGTTCTGCAAAGGCCATATGTTAGTAAGAGGGGTGTGTGTGTGTGCGTGTGTGTGTGCGAGAGAGAGAAAAAAGTGCCTTTTTATCCACTTCCACCCCTTCTTCGTGTATCTTTTATGAAGTTCAGGCAGGTTTCTAAGTTGTCTTCAACAGTGGCATTATTTTAGCAGTCCTCTGTGGTGTTTTTCTGAGCTGCTCAAGAGTGCCTGTAGAGAGGCTGAACCTCAGGTTCCCCCTTTAACAGGCAGATAAATTATTTCTTCTTTTTATCTATAGTGACTTTGGAGATAAGGGCTAACAATCTTTCTGACAAATCTAGTTATTTGCTGCATATTTATTTCATTTAATACCTTCCATTTTACCACAGATTTGCTTTAGGAACACTCAGATGTTGGCTATACATTTTGTGGAGTTCCACCTTTCAGAAGTCTGTGAAGTGTGGAGTTAAAACGAACAGCATGGCTTCTAACATTTAAATGGCCTTTTGTCGCCAAATTTTGTTTAAGACTGTGGTGCTTTGGCAGACTGAGATGTTGCCCTGGGAACATTCATAAAGCCCTGAATGTTTCACTCTTTCTGCCCAGCTGCATTCTAGAATAAAGGTATTACTAGGTTCAGTTATGGAGGTTCACATTGCTCAATGTAATAAGATTTATGCTCATACTAAGATTTCTGTGCTAAGCCAGTGCCTTCCTACCTAATTGTTAAGGTGATTTATTTTGTTGACTGGGCAGCTTTTGGGCTATATTCCCATTTTCATACTGTTGTTAAGTAGCACATGTCCATTTGAATGTTTTCTTGTTGCTGTTGCAAATCTCTTGTAAAACCATTGAAATTAAACAAGGTTTTAAAACGGAAAGCTGAATTTCATTAATGTTTTGTCTTTAGCTCTGCTTTCTGTGGGATCACTTTTTCACTGCAGCCCTTCTAGCTCATAGTGGTTGAGATTCATCAGCATCTCCACAATCTTTAGCAGGAAGGCTCACTCCTCCTGCTGTGGACATGATAGTGAACATGCAGTAAGTGGTACAATCTTCTGTTTTGGTGAAAACACTGTGTTCTGCTGTAGCTGAGAATCACTGCTGTAGCTGAGAATCACTGGATCGTACCTGTGGGAAGGGACCTCTGGATGTCATTTGGAAGAACGCTGCTCAAAACAAGGCCAACCTGCAGCAGTTCACATACAAGTATCTTAAACAAAGCTCAGACCCAGCGTTTTTAAAAATGTAGCTGCCTGCTGCCATACAGTTGGAGCTTGTCGGAGACCTGCAAGAGCAGGGCTGCCCCACGGGGGTGGGTGAGCCGGGAAGCCGAGCAGAGCAGTCCGCGCCCTCACCCGACAGCCACAGCCTCATGGCACCGGAGCAGGGCAGTGGCAGCCACAGGATGGGG